TCTGGCCTGTACCCCAGTTCTATATAAATAAATAAATAAATCTTTAAAAAAAAAAAGATCCTTTTGTATTCTGAGGGAAGATTCACGGGTTTCAGGGATTAGGATAAGAACATCTTTGGGGACCATTTTCCTACCACCAAGCTATCTTAGAATTTTGCCCACTGCTATGTTTTGTTTTGTGTATTAGTATTAAGAGAACTTCTATGGCCCATGTAAACCATACACAAAGTAAAACATTACCTAACTTAAAATACAATAATAAAATCACATTTGTAGCCTTTCTGAATATATTTTGCATGAATGGTTTCCATTCACTTGGTCTAAAACCTCTTTTTCCACCGAGATTCTGTCCTTTTTGATTTTATCATTTTTTTGCTTAAAGAAACGTCTCTGTTTTTAAATATCATTTATTTGAGAAACACCGTTAATATCATTAACGTCATTCTTCATTTCCAAACATAGGAAAACGTCATTGCTGTTTTCCTGGAATAAATGTGCTAATCTGTCCTCTTGCTGGTTTTGTGTTGCTGTTATTGTTGTTTGTCTCTTTTGTACTTTGGACCACTGGAATTTTTTTTCCCGGTGTCTAAGAAAGAAAGCACAGCACTAGCTGAATAGCATTTCTTACACAAATACCACTTTCAACACTGCTGTATTACTTCCCATTTTTCTTATTCTATATTCTGGGAGTGAGACTCTTACTTTCTCAAAGGATGCTCTGCACATTGCCATCTCCCAAAACAGAAATATTGAGTAATGCTGTTGAAGGGTTTTTCCATTTAAAATACTGTTTTTAATCTTCTGGCCAATCCACACGGTTGCTTTTAATCATGTTCCAGTATCTTCTGTGTCAACATTACAGGTGCCTTCTTGCCATTTACCCCCGATTTCTTTCCGTATCAGTGGGCCAGATTCTGCTGAATATTTCATTAAGTTATAGTCCGCTAGAAAGCAGGGTCCTCTTTCCTATTTGTAAACTTTCCCAGCAGCAAGGAGATGTGAGCTTTCTGTTTTTCCCCTATCTTCATTCTCGCAAGGTTTGTGATTTTTCCCTGAATACATTGCTCATGTGGTAGATTAAATTAATTATCGTGTAGTTAAAGGTGGGCACTCATATGACAACCCAAGTACCATGCATGTCAAGAAATCATAATAATGAAAACGATTTTCCAATGCATGTGTGTTCAACAGCTCTAAGATTCATTTCTCTGTACCTTCCCAGCAGAGAAGCCCTTGACACTCTCGACTGAACAGTCATGGCTTCAGTAACCTACAAGGGACCCTGAAAGGCCATGATAAGCAATAATTTATCATTTGCTAGGGTTCAAAATGGATCCCTCCGGCTGCAAGGCTGCCTCTTAGGGGAAAGTCACTCGCTGCGGGCAGCTGCTGTGGGCAGCCAAGGACAGTGTGGGGCTTTTTGTGTCCTGCCCCTTCCCCAGTGCTTCCTCGGGCAGTCACTACGCGTGTCTGCCCATGAAGGCATCTGGGAAATCTCATAATAAATAAATGGGTCTCATCTTATTTAACTCCATGTTTCTCAAGCATCTGGGAACATTTTCCTCACAACACCAGTGCACCACAGGCCATCAGTTGGAGGAACAGTGATTACTATATTATTTATAGAATGATCATGGGTAAAAGGTCATCCTGCTTCAAGATTTCTACTTCAAGGCCCTTCGTGGTAGTGTGATGGGTTATAAGGCAGCACTGTGAAGCTCAACGCAGCCACTGCAGCTTGAGTTCCGTCCCTGGCCAGGGAGGTGACCCCCATGGCACAGCAGGCCTCTCCTGTATCCCCATTGCTCCCCTCAGCAACGTACTTCAGTATATCTGCCTGTTCTGCTCCCCACTCTGTCTCTGGTGAATCCTCTCACCACCCCTGAACCTCTAGCCTGTACCCCAGTTTGTATGCATAAATAAATAAATCTTTAAAATAAATAGATACATAAGTAAATACCAGGAACATAAATTCTATTGACCTCAACCAATTCAGTCTGTCAATATTAGTGAAGCACCCACCCTGTCATCCTGCGGCAGACGGGCAGAACACGCATAACTGAAAATGAGCATGACAGGAGAAAGGGTGGTGGGAAGGGGACAAGAGCACCTGTGACCACATAGGAGAGAGAAGCGCGTCAGAAAAGATGTGACATGAAGCTCTGCAAAAGCCTGGAATCTGTGGAGCTTAGCATCTGCTTTCTGTCCTTCCCTCTGGTTTCCCCCAAAGACATTCGCTGCTGCTTAAACAGCCCCACCCCCCACCCAGACCACTTGAGCTCTTTCAGGGCAAAGTCTACATTCTTTTTAGCGGCAGCCAAGTGTTCAAGGGAGTAGTCTCCAAAGCGGAATGACCCACTCTCTGACCAGGCTAACTGGTCAAGATGGTTTTTCCAATGAGGCACAACTAGAGAATTATTCACTGGGGCCTCCCTGGTGATACAACGGGTGAAAGTGCAACACTAAGAAGCTGTCTGCAGCCACTTCATCAGGAGTTCCATCCCCAGCCAGGGAGTGACCCACATGGCCCTGGGGACCTCTCCTGTCTCGCCCGCTGCTCCCCTCAGCCG